GGCAAAGTTGCTGTTCTGCCCTGTTCAGGCAGCTCGCTGAGGCTTTTCAGCCCAGTGAAGATCTCTTGTGCTATGGGTTGTAGAGGGCTTGGGTGGAGCACTGTATCCAAACCAAAGTCCCAGAATGGGAGATCCCCAGTCCTCTGGTCAGTTGCATGAACCCCCTGGGTGGGGCAGTGCCCCACCTTGCCTCAACTTGCCCTATTTGGTTTATACCCACTGTCCAACCAGACCCACAAAATGAACCTGGAACCTCATTTGGAATTGTGGAGACCAGTCGGCTTCTGCGTCTCTCTCGCTGGGAGCTGCTTTCTGGAGCTGCCTCTTATTTGGCCATCTTGGGATCTGACAATTATTTTTTACTTCAATTTATTTGGACTTAAAAAAAATCTATTCATTTACAAATGAGAAAGAATTGGGCAGGACACAGTGGCTTATGCCTATAGTCCTGGCACTTTGGGAGGCAGAGGCGGGTGGATCACAAGGTCAGGTGTTTGAGATTAGCCTGGCCAACATAATGAAACCCCATCTCTACTAAAAATTAAAGAAGTTAGCCAGGCGTGATGGCGAGTGTCTGTAATCCCAGCTGCTCTGGAAGCTGAGGCAGAATAATCTCTTGAACCTGGAAGGTGGAGGTTGCAGTGAGCTGAGATTACCTTACTACACTTCAGCCCAGGTGACAGTGAGAGACTCCATCTCAAAAAACAAAAACAAAAAAAAAAGAAAGAGAAGGAAAGAATTGCGTGTCCATATTTGAGATCATTCTTCAGTGTATACTTGAGTGCCTCCTATGATCTCTCCAGGACCATAAGCGACCACACTGGTGAATTTATGTATTGTGTGAAATAGAATAGGGGTAAATTTCAGAATAGGGTATAATATAACCTTGGAGTTAATTTAATTAATATCCTATTCTTGCTCATTTCAGAGCCTTGGGGAAATCCCATGAAATAGCAGTAGAAGTTGAGGGAGTGGTTTCACAGCTACTGTCCTACCCTCAGGAGACAGCCGATTCATAGACGCACTTGCACAGTTAAATCAAGTTCAGGGAGTGTGCCCCAGAATCTGATGAGAGCAGCCACCCTATTGGTTTCTGTCTGCATTTGATCAAATAGAATGGCCTGGGGCTTTGTGGGTGATGCTAAACATCCAAATTCCATTCGAATAATCTACTTAGCAACTGACCTTTATGGGGTGATGAAGTAATCCTCAAAAGATGTGAAATTTTGGTAAATAATCTTTTTTTTTTTTGTTCTGCAACATTCTGGGTGAATTACTGATTTATACCCCATCATCCCAGACAAAAAACACTCTAAAGTTTAAGTTTCCTGTTTATTTAGCCAAAGATGCAGATACCTATTGGAAGTGAGGTAGCTACACAGAGCAGAAGACAGGTAAAGATACTTCATGTCCACCAAGTGCGGTGGCTCATGCCTGTAATCCCAGCACCTTGGGAGGCCAAGGTGGGTGGATCATGAGGTCAGGTTCAAGACCAGCCTGACCAACATGGAGAAACCCCGTCTCTACGAAAAACAAAAAATTAGCAGGGCGTGGTAGTTCATGCCTATAACCTCAGCTACTCAGGAAGCTGAGGCAGAAGAATCACTTGAACCTGGGAGGCAGAAGTTGCAGTGAGCCGAGGTCATGCCATTGCACTCCTGTCTGGGCAATAAGAGTGAAACTTCATCTTAAAAAAAAAGAAAAAATGGAAAAAAAAAAGATACTTCATGTCTCATTGTAGCTTCCTTTGACTCTTCATTTATCCACAGGATACTACTAGTCAGGCAAGGTAGGTTCTTGCTGGGTCTAAGAAAATGCATTTCTTATTGCTCCACAACATCCCAGAAAGCCCAGTTATACATAGTCCATCACCACTGGATTCTCATTTAATAAGCTTTCATTTGGAGAAAGAGAGATGTTAAGGAATTGGTGCATACAGCTGTGGGGGCTGCAAGCCAGAAATCTGCAGGGCAGGTTGGCAGCCTGGAGGCCTGGGGAAGAGCTGACATTGTAGTTCAAGTCCCAAGGCAGTCAGGAGCAGAATTTCTTCTTCCTCAGGGGACCTCAGTCTTTTCCTCTTAAGGTCTTCAACTGATCGAATGAGAAACACTCACATTACAGATCATTTTCTGTACTCAACATCTACCAATTTAAATGTTAGTGACATCTAAAACCATCTTCACGGCAACATCTAGACTGTGTTTGATCAAACATCTGGCAACATAATCTAGCTAAATTGGCATGTGAAATTAACCATTAGAGATGATAAAGCTGAAACTCAAAAAGGTATTGAGTGATGTGGCTAGGAACCGAGCTGAGAGCTGTCTGACTCCAGAACCTGTCCCATAAGCCCCATGATCTCATCGTGTTTGTGTGTGTGTGTGTGTGTGTGGAGGGGGCAGGGGCAGTGGTGTGGTGGGGACTGGGTCTGTTCACCCAGGGCCTGCTGACTGCAGCAGCCGTTCTTCCTGCCTTGGGAAACTTCTGGTCACCTTATGGGGAAAAATTTGATTTTTCAGTATAGTATCCCTGGGAGATCATTCACTAGGACCTGGCATTGTGGGAAGGAAGCATTTCTGGATAGATGCCAGAGGCTGAGCGCGGGTTTAGTTCAATGCAACTCGGTTCAATTAACCTGTATTATTTAGTCCTGACCGTGTGCCAGCTTGCTCCTGGCCACAGTGTAGTTTAGGAGAAACAGGTGAAAATATACAGCTCACTCCCTTTGGATCTGATGAAGTTGGAGGCAGGGAAGCACAGAAAATATTTGGAACAAAAACGACAGATGCATGTTGTAGTAGGAATCCAGGGCTGTCACTGATGGCTGACCTGCCATATACCTCGAGTCGAATCTTACTAATTCAGTCCTTATTAGATAATATGGAAAAATACAATTTTTAAGAGATATGTTTAAATTTGTATAGCTTTTCAATTTCAACCAAGGTTAGTCTGCCTTTGACAGAAAGCTTAGTGGTAAGAGAACTTGTTATTAACAGTGATGTGTGTGTATTTATGTATAATTAATGGGAAAGAGCCAACAAACTTGGATTTGAATCCTAACTGGTATTCAAGTTAAAGGTAAAATCATGATTCATGAAAATATATAATGAGTGCAAGCCAAGGATTTTATTTAACTTATTAACTAATGAGGAAACTAGTAAAATGTAAAAATAAGTTCAATAAATACACAAATATAGGCAATCAGGAATTGGAAATGAATTTGCATACAGATGCAAAACAAGTTGCGTCCCAGGGCAATAATCAGTTGTGTCTTCCAGGCCCAAAATTGATTTGCATTTCCATGGACAGGAATTATTTGCATTACTTACATCATCAGTTTTCTGCAGCTTATAAAGTTGTAAAACAGCACAAAGATGCTCAGAAAGTGCAGATAGCTTGGAAGAGTGTTTTAGAACACCCACCAGTCTGCTTTTTCCCATTTCAAAGTCTTGCACAATCTTTTTCTGACACTGGAGAATACCAGGACAATGGCTTTGGGCATATTGTTTAATCTCTCTGAGTCTCAGTTGCCTTATGTATAAAAGAGGGCTATTTTTTTATTGGATTGTCCTACTGATTAATAATGATAATGAGGTCATACACTACATAATGACATTTTGGTCAGTGATGGACTAAATATGTAACAGTGGTCCCATGAGATTATATTACAGTATTTTTACTGTACCTTTTCTATGTTTAGATAGGCTAATACTTACCATTGTGTTACAGTGGCCAACAGTATTTAGCACAGTAACACGTACATGTTTGCAGCCTAGGAATAATAGGCTATACCACATAACCTCAGTGTGTAGTAAGCTCTACCATCCAGGTCTGTGTTAAGTACACTCTATGATGATTGCGCAATGATGGAATCACCTAACAGTGCGTTTCTCTTGCTGTTAAGCAATGCATGGCTGTATATATAAACTTCCTGACACAGAGTATGTATCCAATCGATATTAGGTCTCCTTCCTCTGTATGTTTTTAAAAACCAATATGAGGACTTGTTTCCAACACATCTCTTCATTCATTGCATTTGCTTATTCGACATTTGCTGAAGGCTAGTTATACCAGGCATGTGCTAAGCTAATGCACAGCTAATGACCACACAGTGGGCAAATCACACAATTTTAAGGAGCTTGTAGACAGGTAGTAGGGGTGGTGGAAGAGGCAGGCCAAGCAGTAAATCATTAGTTATGATTTGTATGGCTCGCAGTGGCGGGAATCCCGGGAGGGGAGCCTCCGGGAGCGTGCATGGTGGTTGAAAGCAGTGACTCAGAAGCCAGACTGCTGGGGCCCATTAACTCCACCCTTGGGCAGGTTACTTAACCTCTTGGTGCCTCAATTTCTTCATATTTAGAATAAAGGTGAAACCTGTAGGCTGCGGTGCAGCTGAAATGAGTTAATATTTATGAACACTTGGGCTAGTGTCTGGTGCATGCTAAGCACCATCTAAGTATTTGCTATAATAATAATTATTATTATTAGTACTTTTTAGATGGAGTCTCGCTCTGTGGCCAAGGCTGGAGTGCAGTGGTGCAATCTGAGCTCTTCAACCTCTACCTCCCAGATTCAAGCAATTCTCCTGCCTCAGCCTCCTGAGTAGCTGGGCATACAGGCATATGCCACTACACCTGGCTAATTTTTATATTTTTAGTATTTTTAGTGGAAACGGGGTTTCACCATGTTGGTCAGCCTGGTGTAGAACTCCTGACTTCAAGTGATCCACCCGCCTCAGCTTCCCAAAGTGCTGGGAATACAGGCATTCCTTGCTATTATTATTACTCCCAAAGTGCTAGGATTATGTGCCTGTTCTTTGCTATTATTATTTAATGATTATAATGTGCTTGCATTGGATAAAGAGTAATTTCTACATAGAAACCCAAGTTAGAGAAAGACAAAATCATAAAGTAAAATGCACGCAACCTTGTTGCTCAACTGGACTGTTAGACTATACTGAGGCATGAAATGGACTTTTCCGTGCTCTTGTGTTCTGACAGGTTACCTCGGCACAGACGCAGCTCTGAGACGTCTCTTCTACAGCCTAGCCCTCCCGGAGTTGTTTGAGGAGCCAACTGTTCACCTGTCTTGTCTGCCAAGCTCAATGTTCCTTGTTTTACCTGTTCACTGACTTCTTACAGTCAGAAAACCTCCCTCAAAACCAAGGCTGCCTCCTGTTGAGTAACTCCTGTGTTCTCAGAGAGACGGATGCTTTGGTCTCATTTTAGATACTTTCAGCCCTTCTACATACAATGGGGTCCCCAACAAATACAGTTACTTTCATCCTGACCACGGCCATGAGGGCAGCTGGGCCTTGGTGGCTCAGTGGTGGCCAATTCTGAACGCAGTGGACATTTAACTGCCTGGGTTTAAAACTGACTTCACTGACAAGGCTCCAACAAGCAATCAAGTACCCAGAGGAAGAGTGAAAGCACTAACTCTAACCTGTTGTCTACCTAAATGAGTCTGCTCCTGTCAGATCTGTAGACCTCAGAGGCATTTTCAGGCGTCTGCTATTATTCCTGGTGATGGAGTGCAGAGACACCTGCATCATCCCATAGAGTCACAGCAGAAACAAGCTGGAAGGTCTTGGATTGATGGGCTGAGACCTGCCCTGAGTGTCAGGAGATTAGTTCTCATGCCGGGTGTCACCTCGGGAAGTCCCTTCCCACTCCGGACTTCTGTTTCTCACCATTACACTGAAAGATTGGCCCAGTTGGTGGCTTTCCCAGGTGGTCTCTGTGCTATCACCTCAGAATTCCTTAGAAATGCAAATTCTCAGGGGCCGCTACAGACCCATCAGCTCAGAAATGCAGGGCACAGAGCATAGAGATCTGTGTTTTACTAAACGGGATGGGGATGGGTGTCGGGAGGGACAGGGTGTTCTGGTCCCACCTAAAGTTTGAGAACCACTAGTTGGGTAAATTTTCAGTCCCCTTCTGACTCTAATAGTCTGATCCTCGGCTGTGATCTGTGAAGAGAACAAACTGTGCCTATTCCTGATGACATCTGGGATGACAATGGGTGAGAGAGGGGGTTCCCACCAGAAAGTGAAACTCAGATAGGTGGCCATAGAAGTTCCTTTCAAGCATCACCTGTTATCATGTTACTGGGATTCCATTTGCTAATTAATTTCAGGGAGAGCTGAAAGGAGCCCCGTGGGAAGGTCTTGATGGCCCTGCAGTGGCTGCATTAGGAACAATTCCTGGCTGTCCCTGAAAGGCCCCTGGAAGGCTCCCTTCGGCAGCACCTGGAGAGGGAGGCTGACAGCAGCTTTGTGCATCTCAGAGTGGATATTGTTTCTCCCATTGGTGCTTCACACAATCGGGCGAGTGTCCGAGGTCCGGCTGGCCTCCAGCTGTGGCTGTGTGCCCAGCTCCCCTGGAAGGGTGCCTGCAGCCCGAGAAGGGGCGCTCTGTTTCCGTGGGAGGCATGGCCAGCTCCTGTTGACAGGTTTGTGACTTGCTCACGGAAAGGCCTGCTTTCCGGAGCTGGCCTCGGACTGAGCCAGGAAACAGTTATCTCAGGGCCCAGCACGTGGCTGGGGGGCTGGCGCATAGTAGGTGTGCTGAACAACAGCTGATGCCAACTTGAGGTCTGTTGGGTCCTTTTGTAAAATTGCTTTGGGTGTTCAGAGGAGTCCCAGAATCAATTTTGGATAGCTCCTCAGCTCCTAGGTGCTTTCGGGAGGGGCATATTATGTGAGACTCCAGTCTGGTGCCATGGCTCATGTCTGTAATCCCAGCATTTTGGGAGGCTGAGGCAGGTGGATCACCTGAGGTCAGGAGTTTGAAACCAGCTTGGCCAACATGATGAAACCCCGTCTCTACTAAAAATTCAAAAATTAGCTGGGTGTGGTGGTGTGCTCCTGTAATCCCAGCTTCTCAGGAAGCTGAGGCAGAAATATCGCTTGAACCTGAGAGGTGGAGGCTGCAGCGACTGGAGATCAGGCCACTTCACTCCAGCCTGGGCAACAAAGTGAGACTCCATCTCAAAAAAAAAAAAAAAAGGTTACTGGACTTCGGCTCTCCAAGCTCCTGACTAATGCGAGTAGGGTAAGGGACGTGACATTGGGCCAGGAGAGCACCAGGGGGCATCCTAGGTGACATCGCATTATGATAGTGCATCACATGCATGACGGGATTGCTAGGGGAAGCAGTCTCTGATTTCCAGATGAAAAATTTAGGGCGCCCCAAATAGGTATCCTGACCAAAGTCACACAAGGAGGAAGTGATAGAGTCAAAACACTAAATTTAGTTTCATTTACTGAATATGTGGCTAAATAATGTAGTCATTGTACGAATGGAAAAGGTTTCCATTTATAACTATTCTATTTGCCTAGTTATTCTAATTAATGATTCTATCTAACACATCTGTCTAATCGAATCCTCACACTAATGCCTTGAAATGGGTATTTATATCACCTTTTTACAGATGAGGAAACTGAGGCTTAACTTACCTGCTGTCACCCATGGCTAATAAATGGCTAGTCTTGAATCGTACCCCAATAGATGTTGGATGAATGGATGACATCAAAGCCTGTTCTCCACCACATTCATCCAGACGAAAGATTTCAGGGTGGCCTGGAAGAACCCTGCACCTTGTCAGGGATTGCAGTGTCTGAATTTTCACCATCCCCAATCTTTAGGGTTTAATTGCCATCAGCCCCCAATTCCAAGTGATGAATTTACTCCGAGCAGGGCTCTTCCTGGACAGGTGAGCACCTGGGTAAATCACATGACATTTACATGAGATGCTTAGTGAGGCTTTGACATGATTACAAGTCCACACTGTGAGACTGCAGTTCCATACAGACTCTACCTGAGAGAGAGGAGCCTTAAGGAGTACGAAAACCACTGTGACCTGGGCAAGAGCTGGGGCATCTAACCGCGTGGTGGGAGGATTCCAGAAAGAGTGATAGAGGTGGGCAAAAAGAACCTTCACTCCAGTGGCCCATGAGGGAATATGGTTGCCATGTGGCAGATGGAGAGATGGGTCCAGAGATCATGGGTAAGTGGTTTAGTTATGTTGAAGTCATTTTTTTCAGTCAGTCACTGACTCCAGCCTCTCTGTGCTAGACTTACACGCTCGTACAGGGGAAATCGGAGATGAAATTCCATCTCTACCCCCAAGAAACCCATCGTCTAGTGGCAGAGAGATACATCATAATAAGGCCTGATACAACAGGTCAGGAACTGTATTTTTGGCCAAGTACCCTAATGTTCACAGATAGGAGAAGAATGGTGGAGAAAACACTCTTCCTGTTTCCAGAATAACGGCAATGACTTGGCAGTCTGTAGATTTTAAGGAACATTCACGTCAGCCATATGCACTGAATTCAAGCTTAGTGGGCTGGGTGCAGTGGCTCACACCTGTAATCCTAGCACTTTGGGAGGCTGAGGTGGGTGGATACTTGAGGTCAGGAGTTTGAAACTAGCCTGACCAACATGGTGAAACCCTGTCTTTACTAAAAATACAAAAAAATTAGCTGGGCGTGGTGGCAGGTGCCTATAATCCCAGCTATTTGGGAGGCTGAGGCAGGAGAATTGCTTGAACCTGGGAGGCAGAGGTTGCAGTGAGCTAAGATCATGCCACTGCACTCCAGCCTGGGCAACAGAGTGAGACTCTGTCTCAAAAAAGAAAAGAAGAAAAGAAAGGAAAATGAATTCAAGCTTAATGGATGGATGAATACTGCCCTGTGAAGGTGCATTTTGTAGATGTGTTCGAGATTGCACAGCTGTTGAGTGGCAGAACTGGACTCGAACCTAGATATCTCACCTGATTTCCAGCATCAGTGTAGGAGAGCAGGGGCAGGGTTGGAACAGTGGACGTCCTTATTTCCTCAGAACAACAGAGGATAGATGGACGGATATAACCTAGGAAGGCTGGGGTGATAGTATCTCAAAATGAATCTCCTGAGAGGTTTGGGAGCGGCAGATCAGAACTGAAAGCAGCAGAGTGGCTGAAAAAGGTCTTCTCAATTGGAACACATGTGTGGCTTTTCAAGTTGTATTTAGAGGGAGGGGTAAGAGAACAGCTATTTCAGCGAAGGGACCTGCAGAGACCCAGGCAGGGCCAACTCATGGCAGGGTCTTAGGCTGGCTGGGGAGGGGGAAAGGAAGAAGGAAGGAACAATAATGGCGGCCTGATTGTTTGCCAAATGCTTTTAACCCATGATTCCACGTCCTTATCACATAAAACTATGACATAGGATTCTGCTCTTGCTTTCGGGAAGTGGCTTGTTCCTGCCCGTGTTGCTGAGAAGCAGCAGAGGCGGGTTTGGAGCTCGGATCTGCCTGACTCCAAATCCTGTGCCCTTCCCACTTCCCCACACCATCTTCCCACCCTATTCTTCATGCTCCTGACTTTGGATCCCTCTTGGCTATCCCCTGCAGTAACCTTTTCATGCAATTGACACAGAGTCAGTAACACATGTCAGCTTTAGTCAGCTCTGAAGAAGAAGGGGTCAGTTCTAGAGCAGTGGGAAAAATAATGGGAACAATCCTGGTTTGGGGCCAAGTCTACACCAGAGCCTAAAGGTGTGGCGTGCAGGTGTCTTGGGTTTGGGGGCTGGAGTGCCATCCACACAAGTGTATGGTGGGACAAGAGGCCAGAATGGCAATTGGGGTCAAATATGACGGCCTTGAGCCCCCATAAGCAATAAGAATTTATTGGAGGATTTTTAGTGAAAAGAGCATAAACAGCAATGATGAAAACCCTTGCACTGTTTGTGGGGTGGAAAGGGGACACTTACAGAGATGAGATGGAGGTCTTTATCTCACTGTCTTACCTAGATGCTGAGAGGAAAACGCTTTTTGGAGACATGGTTGGAGCTGCATTTCTGGGCAAAGCTGCAGATGCAGTCAGAACAGAGGCTCTTCTTGGATGCCTGCCCTGAATGGCTGGAGTGCTCAGGGCTGAGGCCCTTGGAAAACTGCCTGTTCATTTGCCCCAGTGTTGCAGGGTGAGTGCTTAGACCCACTGCTCCCATGCCTCTTGCATCGCTGAGCCTCTGCTGAGCTGTGGCTCATTCATTCCTCATCCTGCACTGCAGCGACAGGAGATGAAGTCTCTGTCATCTTGGGGTTTCCCTTGTAGTTGGAAGGACAGGAGGTGGCAACATCAGCATGAAGAGGCTCTGAAAGAAGCCAGCAGCAGCGGAGAGGCAGCTACTGCAGGGCCCAGGGCAGGGAGGCGGGTGCTTTAGATAGGGGGTCCAGGGTGGCCTGTGTCTAAGCTAAGTAGTGAGCATGAGCACAATTCATTTATGGGGTGAACTGAGAAATGGGCTTTCTAGGCATGGGAATAGTAGGCACAGAGCCCTGGGAGCTGGAAAGGGCCAGCTGTGTCCCCAGCGGGGAAGGATGGGCCAGTGCGACAGGCACACAGAGGAGCAGGGGTGTGACCTGAGGCGAAGAAGAAGAAGGCAGGTGGCAGCTTCCTCAAAGTCTGAGTGGGTTTTATTTTAAGAGTGTGGAGAAGTAACTGAGTGTTTTAAGGAGGGGGGCTGTGGGAGAATAAACAGCAGACAGGTAATTTAGAAATATCGTGAGGCCGGGCAAGGTGGCTCACGCCTGTAATCCCAGTACTTTAAGAGGCTGAGGCGGGAGGATTGCTTGAGGCCAGGAATTTGAGACCATCCTGGGTGAGACAGAGAGATCTTGTCTCTACATAAACAAATAATAAAAAAAAACATTAACAAGGAATGGTGATACATGCTACTCAGGAGGCTGAGGTGAGAGGACTGCTGGAGCCCGGGAGGTTGAGGTTGCCCTGAGCTGTGGTCACGCCACCTGCACTCCAGTCTGGGCAACACAGCAAGATCCCATCTCAAAAGGAAATAGTGTAGAGGTAGAACCACAGGGATTTCTTGGTTGTTTCAATGTGAGTCTTCAGGGAAAGGGAGAAATTGGGGCTGCCTCCTGCATTCTTGGGTTGAACTAGCAGATAGTGGTGGCAGGAAGGCCAGACAGAAACCCACTGACTCCACTGTGGACACGCTACATCTGCAATACCTGCCAGGCAGCTGGGGACATGAGGCCATTCATTACACTTGGCATCCTCGAAGTCATTAGAATCTTGTTAAGAACAGTTTCAGCAGAATGGAGGTGAGGAAGTAGAAGCAGTGGACCCAGATGACATTTTGAGGAGTTCTGCCATGAAGAAGAATAAACGGAAGGGGAGGAGGTGAAGGGGATTTTTAAAGTAATTTAAAAGTTTACCAGAATGTCTCATACAGGTCAAAGATGGTCCAGTGTGAAACCCATGGCAAAATTTCTTAACATTTTTTTCATTCTCATGTATTTCCTCTTTTTATTTGGAAAGATTGAAAAAGTTAGAGAAAAGTTGAAAGAATCATAGTTAAGGTCCATGGATGCTTTACCCAGCTTTTCTCTCGAGCCCTCTCTCTGAAGACAGGAGCAATGGGAACTCATGTGCTGCTGGAGATAATGACCCAGGGGAAAGGGATTAGAGGGGAGCAGAGTCTCTGAGAAGGTGAAAGTCATCGTTATTCAGTATAAAGGAGGGCCCTGCCTTGGATAGGAGCAGGGACACTGCCATTATAACGGGAGGGAAGACGTGGGAAGATGTATGTGTTTCTGGTGGCTTCCCCTAATGAGTCAGAGTTGAGAGGTTAAGGGACTTATGGGGGGAGAAGAAAAGAATTAATAGCTGAGTTAGAGAGGGAGAATGATATCACAGGACTGCTGGGAAGGACTGAGTGCCCATCTGAGTTTTGTGGTCCTGGGGTTAGAGTGAACCAATCAGCTTTGCTGTGTGGACTTTCTTCTTCAGTAATAGCAACCTGGGTAGGCAGGGACAGGGTGACTGGTTGTATTTAATCAGGACTGGGGCTTATCCAGGACAGTACATGGAGGGACCACAAGGGGGCAGCTGTAGTGACGGACCAGAGAAGCACAGCTGAGTCCAAAGGGGCGAGGGATGGGACTGCCTCTGGGAACACAGGGAGCTCAGAGGTCTGGCCTCACTGATGCATGACACTCCATTCCATGGGGAATGCCAGGGCCAGGGATTTAGAGGAAGCAAGGATGTAGTGGACAGCTAGGGGCCATCTGAAGTTGAGAGGTCAGAAGTAGTGTCATGTACAGAGTCCAGGAGGTACCCTTGGGAGTGGATGACCAAGGTCGATGGGACAAAGGTGGCTCACAGTGAACAGGACAGACACAGGCAGAGGACACCGAGTGAGTCATCCTTAGGGACTTTGATGTAATCATGTGCAATGGCAGGAGCAGAGCTGGACAGGAACAGTGGGCCAGGAGCCGAAGTATTCAAGGAGCAGGGTGAATGATGGGTGGTCAGAAGGTGGCTGTGAGAGAATGGAAGTTGGGAGGAAGCAGGTTTGGGGCTGGAATCACTCTAGGGCATGTATACCGGAAGGGTTGAAAATCAGGGCTGGCCTGGGTGGTTGGGACTTCTAGGACTGAAGTGTGATGTTATTATATCCCTCATGGCCTCTGCAGGGAGCAGGGACAATCACTTTGGACTACTGTGCCTCATCTCTTGCTTCTAGGTACTTGTGAGCCTTAAACTGCGGTGATGAGGTACATGAGTGCTGGCGTCGGAATGTGCCGTGTTCTCTATCACTTTCTAGGCCTGCGGACCTGGGCATGGCATTCTGCCACTGTGGCTGCATTTTCTCTTCTGTAAAGCAGCGCTCATGAGGTTGTTTCATTAAATGAGATGTCTCAGCCCATTTTGCATTGCTCTAGAGGAATACCTGAGGCTGGGTAATTTCTAAAGAAAAGAGGTTTGTTTGGCTCATGGCTCTGCAGGCCAGACAGGAAGCACAGCACCAGCGTCTGCTTCTAGGGAGGCCTCAAGGAGCTTAAGATCATGGCGGAAGGTGAAGTGGGAGCAGGCATGTCACATGACAAACAAGAGAACAAGAGAGCCAGGTGGGAGCCACTCACTTCTAAATGACCTGATCCCATATGAACTCAGAGCGAGAACTCACTCATCACCAAGGGGATGGCCCAAGCCATGCATGAGGAAATCCACTCCACTGATCCATTCACTTCCCATTAGGCCCCACCTCCAACATTGAGAATTCCACTTCAACACACGATTTGGAGGGGACGAACATCCAGACCATGTCATGAGGTAAGATGGAAAGCACTTTGCTCTCTGCCTGATGCAAATATGGGATCACTAGATATGAACCATTATTATTATTATTATTATAGGAATAATGTTTTTGGAACATTAAGCCACTCTGTTTTCATCCTTGGTAATCCCTAGATCCAAGCCATCTCATTTCCTACAACAAAGCCCTCCATGGCCAGTTCAGGCCCAGGGTCTCCATAGTGTAGATATACTGTGCCTGCCTTGGTAAAGCAGAGGCTTAGAACCTGGGGAGGCAGGAGAATATGCTTTAGAGCAGCAGTCCCCGATCTTTTTGGCACTAGGGACTGGTTTTGTGGAAGACAATTTTTCTATGGACCAGAGTTGAGGGTATGGTTTCAGGATGAAACTGTTCCACCTCAGATCATCAGGCATTAGATTTTCATAAGGAGTGCACAACCTGGATCCCTCACATGCACAGTTCACACTAGGGTTTGTGCTCCTAGAGAATCTAATGCTGCTGCTGATCTGACAGGAGGCAGAGCTCAGGCAGTAAGGCTCACTCACCTGCCACTCATCTCCTGCTGTGTAGCCCCATTCCTAACAGGCTACAGACGGTTACCAGTCTGTGGCTCAGAGGTTGGGCTTTAGAGGAAGTTCCTTCCAGAGGGATGAGGAAGCTGGAAGTCTGCCCCTTCACGTCCAGAAGCACATGAGAAAGAGAAGAGAGGGAGGTGGAGCAGGATGGTGATTGGCCCTCTTTCCTGACCATGCCCTTTTGTCCAAGGCTGTGGAGTGGGAGGTGCATTGTTTGTGTTGAGATAAAAGATGATGCTGAGAAGCTTTTCTGTGCTCCTGGTGGGAACCCTGGAGACATCTATAGTCTAGGGCAACTGTGCATCAATGGGGCAGGGGGGTGGGGTGGAGAGTGCAGTGCAGCAGCCTCTGAGGAAGGGGCTGCAGGATAAGGTGGAGTTCATGGTCTCAGGTGCACCAGTTCGCATGTGTCACTGGAACAC